TTTGACGTCCCGGCACTAATGATTCACATAAGTTTTTGCACGTCAACAAAACGTGAATTGAGGATGCCGATTCGGTGGCAAAATTTTGGTTTAGCGGCGCTGGAGCTGAGCTGCACTGAGCAGACCCGCGCAAAAGAGACACAGATTTGCGTGAAGCACTGGATGGGTGAGGGGTGTAGCGTTTGATGTATGCACTGTGCACTTTGGTGGAACAACCACCAAAATTTGCGCCATTTATGGTGCCTTTGATAAACTTATAAACAAGTTTACCAAGGATAGGTATAAACAAGTACCACCAAGGATAAACAAGACCATGGTGCACCATGCACACCTATGAACACAGATTGAACGGGTGCTGATTGGAAGTCAGTGCTGAACTGTAGACCATGTGTATGGATGTCATTTTTTCACATGACCTTAACATAAAGGCGTGTAGTTACAGTGTTGGGAGGGGGTGGGGAGGGGATTGCCCGGCTTGGCATTTAGCCGTGCCCGCCAATTTGAGGACATGGGCCATGGAAGACCCATTTGTGTAGGCAGCGAGCGCCTTGATTTGAGTGGCATCAAATGAAGGATGTGAAGTTAATTGGAACAGGTCGTTCTCACTGTCATCAAATAAGTTGAGGTTAATCTAAAATGCTCTTATGTAGGTTGCAGGAACTAAAGGGAACAGTTTTCTATATTCCCTAGCAATTTGCTGAAATTTGGTGATGGGCTTATGGACACAGCCGTAAGGCAACTCAATCAAGGCTGCCTGATATTCCTGTTAAGATGAAAGGGCTGTTTACAAGGTAATTACAAAACTTTGAGAGAGAGAGAGAGAGAGAGAGAGAGAGAGAGAGAGAGAGAGAGAGAGGAGAGAGGAGAGAGAGGGAGAGAGAGAGAGGAGAGGAGAAGAAGATCATGGTTATTTTATGTCCATCATCACATACACACATGATGGCATGGCTTGTTAGCAGTGGTGCACATTGTGATTCGATTTCTTGTCACTGCTAGTGGATAATCATTTCCTGAGAAAAGTAGTTATTCGCCTTCATTGCTGGCGTTTGGCATGTTGAAAAATAGTGTTGCTTGCCATGAATTGAAATATGTATTTCAATTAAATGTTAGTTATTCGTATGGTCATTCACATGGGTAAAAAGCTAGTGGTTATATATATATATATATATATATATATATATATATATATATATATATATTACGTACAACGAAGACACCATGTGTCTACGTACATATCCACGTTGTGAAAGGAATGAGTGGAATGAATACCACAAATCTACCATATGCAAATTAACCGCATAAATATATGCAAACATATTTGTGTATACGTATACTAATAATAATACAAGTAATACATATATGTGTATAAATATGCAATATGCCAATACAAGGCATGCATACGTGCCAGCTAACCTTAAAAACGATACCATGGCTAGAATGCACAATTTCGTCAAGTGGATTCGTCTTCACGGTTTAACGGTGAAAAGCTATGCACTGCATGTGACAATAAGACAAAGTGTAGGATCCTGGTAAGGAATCGCGGAGCTGTTTTAGATGGAACATCTGATAAACAGCGAGGCAACATGCAGGCGTTGCAGGCATCATTTTCTTAAGGACGTAAGTGGAAGTCATTATAGAAGTGACACCATGATGAAATTACACACACTTTAATGTGTATGTACTTGGTATGAGGACTGCAAGGTGTGCCTTTATCTCATCTTAACAATATAATATGCTAATTTCCCAACGCCAATCGGATTATGTTTGGTATCAACATCGCGGTGATTGCAAGCAAGTCGAGACGGAGGAAACGGTGCAGTCGACAGGCGCGGCAAACGCACTCCGGCGACTGCCACAAGGGCCTCACAGTTGCACCGTCAGGCACGCCCCGTCCGCTGGCCTTGTGTGCAGAGGCGGACTCAGGAGAAAGCCTCGGGGGGCGGCTGTCGGGGCGTTTGTGCCATCACTGCCCCGATGATGGAGGTGCTGGAGTGTACGCACCTTGTATGTATACTGTTGTAAGAAAATGATACGTTGCCGTAATCGCGTGATTTTTGCGTGATGTTCGGTCGATAAAGGAATACTTTTACCATCACATCTCAACATTTGGAAGTCGGCCCCCGTCGACCGACCTGTATTATGCTTATCATGCTTCGAGCTTCCCCCTCTCCTTTGCATGCCCTGCTTCCGTCCCCGTCCACCTTCCGACGCCACCTGTGGTTCATTGTGACCAGGCCGCATTTGCTCGGCGTGGGCCCTGGAGCCGCCTCTGCCCGCGCGGGCCTTGGAGCCGCCTTCTCTTCAGCGCTCGACGCCGCGCCCTGGCGCGCCTGACGCCGCCCCTGCCGGCACTGGACACTGGAACCGGTCCCACCGATAAACACACCGCGCCAGACCTCTGCTGGGTAAAGTGCGCTGCTGACAGGCCGTGGCGTCGGCCGTGATCCGTGATCGGCGAACCGTGATCCGTGGACGGTGAGCTGCGAGCCGTGATTCGTGATCGCGAGTCGTGAAGTGTGATCGCGAACCGCGAAAACGGACCCCTCGGCGATCCGCTTCCGATCCTGTCCAGCGACGGCGAAGGCAGGGATGGGTGCGATGAGTGACTCCCTCCGACCCCTGTGGCGGCTCCCTCTGCTGACGCGGCTGTCGCGTGCAGCGCGTGCTCTTCTGGCGCTCCTCGGGCCCCCGCAGGTCGCCCAGACGGCGCGCTGGTCGATCGTCGTCTCCTCGTTACGTTTAGTTGTCTGGTCGTGATTCGTTTCGCATTCGTGAAGCATGGTTCGCTGCGCGGGCCGGGTTTTGTGGATCTCTGCAAGGCCTTCGACGTGCGGGACCGAGCGATGCGCGTGACCTTACCCGTATAATGGCTCGTGGCGCGCGACTTGGCCGGGCCGCGTGCGCCTCGGACGGCTCGTGTAATCGAAGCCGGATTGATCCACTGATTGGCGGGCCGTGACTCACGTGATGCGCACGTGAAAGTCGGGTACTGAGGGGCTGTCCGCTGGCAGTCGCGGTTGTGTGCTTTATCGCTGGTGCTGGTACTAAGGTTCCGCGCTCCCTGTTGTTACGTCTGATGCGTTTCGAAATCTGATGCATGGCATCAGTGCCCCGCAGTCCAGAAGGAGATTGATCGGGTTTTGGCTGACGCTCTCTGATTTTAATGGGCAATTTTGGTAGATTGGCAAGAAACATCAACATTTGCGATGACCTTTCATGGGCTACCGCCCAGCCGCTGCGTCGTTCGTGCATGACTGTTGCTGTATACAACCGATTTTCTGCGATTGCAGACCTTGTCCGAATATTGCGTCGCCGCACTCCCCATCCAGTAGCAAGAGTGAGCACTGCTGGATGGTGCTATCGTTGACCCTTGTGGCTGCGCGATTCTCCCCTCCGCCGGGGATGAGATCGGCAGCAGCACTCATTCGCACAAACGCGGAGCAAATCGACGGGTGTCCCCTCAGGAATGCAGGAACGAACTCTGCTCCGGACCCCGCTGGTCTTTGGCCTGCGCTCGGGTCGTCCAAGATCAGCGTGGGGATGGCAGACTCAAGGTCAGGTGCGGCGTGGTCGAGTCCTTCCTGCGCGGCCGTGCGTTCGCACGGTCCGTCCTTCGGTTTCGGCGCTGTAACAGGCGCGGCGGATAGGACTCCGGCGGCTCCCGAGCACTCTCCGCGTCGTTACAACATCTACGGGTCACATCTTGCATTACATCATGCATCTCCCGCTCTGCTGCAGCTCTGCGATTGGTCCCCCTTCCAGTTCCCGCCAACCTCCGCGATCGGCCATTTTTCAGATTTCATCTGCCTCAACCTCAGAAGAACGTGTTGAGCAAATTCCAGAACTGCGTCGAAGCAAATATTTTGCTTGGCAAAAGTTGAGTTTTTATTAGCCTGTCTTGAGCACAG